CCAATTCTTGGGCTCTTCTCCGAGCATCGATATCTTTCTTGGCGAAATAGAATGCTCCTCCACCGGCTAATAAAAAACTTTATAAGTCAAGTCAAATTAATAATGTGGATTATTATTCTCTCGACCTACCAGCAAGCAGTGCCACCCTGTCAGAAAAATAAAATAAAAATAAGATGCGTAAATTTAAAATTGTGAAAAAAAAAAAAAAAATTGGATATATTGCACGAAAAACAAAAAAACTCGCAAACCATCCAATAAGCATGGAACTAGGAGTATTCATCTTTCGCTATTTGTGTTCGTAAAGATTTAAAATTGTGAAAAACTTATAAACCAAAATTTTATCGATAATTCTTGTTTGATATCGTAATTGCCAAATTTAATGTGTTATATAATGCAATATTCCAAAAATATGCCATTTATAAATTTAGCTAAAACTGGATTTATAAAAAACAAGTGTACGACATAGCAAATCGATAATTTGCTTGATACTCCTCTACTCGAAAATTATTAAGTATTTTAAAGTGTAATTAAAAAAAAAATTATAAAATTTATCGCACTTTATTTTATTTTTTTTAAAAAAAAAAAAGCGATGCAAGTATTTATTTATTAATTTTTCAAAAAAGAAATACTAAACATATTATCTAACATGAATACTAATAACATGATAGACATTTTACATTGAAGCAGCTAGGATGATTCCTACCATAGAACTTACCTCAAATAATATTAACTAAATTGACGCTAAACTATACCTACCGTTTTCATGCTTCTTCCGGAACAGCTGAAGGATCTTGTTCATAATCGGCCGGAATTTGTTCAAGATCCATGGGATTTTGTTCAAGATCAAAGTCCATGAGATATTGCGATTCCGTGGGATCGCCTTCAAATTCGTTAAATTCTTCAATGTCCTTATCTATAACATTAGTCTCAAGCACGGCAGTATCCGTCTCCTCTTCGACAATAACCTCACTTTGTTTTTCACCCGCAGTAATATCATCTTCTCTTCTTTCCTCATTAACCTCCGTGTTGTACGTTCCAGGTCCTAGCTCTGCCATTGAATTTATCGATTCTGTTTCTTGTTCTTTGTCTTGACCATCACTTGTTTCCTAGTTATATAAAAAAAATTAACATTTTTATAATAGTGTAAACTTCAGAAATCAAGATGCTTACTTTCGTAACACCGCCAAAATGCTCGCCCAATTTTGCTTGCCTTTTTTGTGCCACTTTTTTATTTTCTTCTATGAAAACAATAAAAAAAGCATTAATTAGTGTAATTTTATGAATTTATCACTTGATAGAATGACGTACTGATTGTTTTCGCTTTTTTTGTTTCCGGTTCCTCATCAGCATTTGATTCATTTGAAACGGCGAAAGGGTTTATGATGGGATTATTGGGTTTTTGGAGAAACGGATTCTCTAATGATGAAATCATGAGGTCAGCAAGTGTCAAATATACGGAGCAAACAAATTATAAAATAGTTCAACAGTGAAAAAATAGATGCGCACTCTTGGTTCCAACTTGGTTGGTTTTTTTGACCTTCGGTGATTCATCATAATATAGGTCATCATGTTCAATTTCTTGTACACGCCGTTTCGAGCCGGTTTGAGTATCATAACTACTCGAAGTACTGGAGGTACTAATCATCAACTCATTGTCTCCTTCGCTTCCAAATGTTAGTGAATCGTAACCGCCCGATGTATCCAATGCATTAGAAAGATTTTGGCGATAAGACGACGTATTTAAAGGTGGCGAATGTGCGATCCTTGAAGATAGAAATAGAATATCATCTAATGGCTCTAAGTCGAACAAAAAATGTTAAATTCCTAGAAACCTCACATACCTTGTGTGATTTAAAGTTTGATTTTGTGTTCGAAATGGAGAAGGCGATATCATCATCTGTGCTTTGTGCATCTCTGTTATTTTGTTCTGATGCAGGGTAAGGCAAGGTTAATAATTTACCCGTATCCATGTAGAAAATTATCGACAAAAGAGTAATCAAAGGACTGAAACTAACCGACTTGATCTGATTGATTTTCTCGGCTAATATTGGAAGTTTCTTGAAATTTGCGATTTTAATTGCCTTATCCAAAGACTTTGTTGTACTTAACATTTTTGCCAAATCCAATGCACGTTGAAGTTTTTCTTCTTGACAGGATAACTATATATGGAAAATAATTGTCATATACGGAAATGTTCATGGAAAATGTTCAAAAAATCCTTTAAAAAAATCAAAAGAAAAATGCACCATTATCAGTTCCAATAGAGTATCGTTTATTTCCTTATTCTTCTGCTTGATTTTCTCGCGTTCCCATTCCAATGAATTTCTTGCCTTCGCCTCATCAAATTCGAATCTCGTGATAACAGACATTCGCATAACCCTATAGAGACAAAAGTCGATTTTTAATCTTATGCGTCAAACTAAACCATGAAAATCATTATGCTATTACTTTTCTTCGTATTGGCCATCTTTCTTGTCCAAGTTCAACAGTGGAATTTGCAAATTGACCTCATCAAAACTAGGACGAGGTATGCTGGGATATTGTTCTCCGTTCTGAAAAAAATGCACGAAATATACTTTAGAAAAGGAAGATTCATTACCTTAAATTGACCATATGATTGATTACCTTGCAAATAAAACAGATCAATTTGTTTTCATTAAGCCACACAGGCCAATATACCCATTCCTTTTCTTCCTCCTTTCGATTAAGACTAGTATCGAGTATGGGTATCCATCTACCTTGATTATTTGTGCGATAATGGTGAAGTACGCTGAGTACTCCTTTGGAATCAAACATTGCGGGCATCTATAAGACCAAAATTTTAACATCGATGATACAAGAATTGGCGTCGAATATACATTAAAATGAAAACCGAAAACATAATTACCCCTTCCTCAGAAAAACCTATCCATTGTAAGATTGAGTCTTTTGAAATTGGCATTCGATCCCTTTGCAGAATTTCCCGACTTCGAAAATCATATAATATATATCCAATACTCTGGGATCCTGAAATGAAATATACATATTTACTTTAAATAACAACCCAGATGATTTTAAGAAATTACATAAGTTATTATTCAATTATTATAACCTTTATAACCAATTCCCATATTATAGACGATTAAAGCAAATTCATTTCGAGCCACCATGGAAACCACTGATGATAGATTGAAGATATATGTCTGAACACCACAGAGAGAGAAGAATCGCAGGACACCCTTTGAGGTTGACGCAATTATTCCTTCAGAACCTAATGCAATAGCTATATGTAATAGCGAAATTTTACATTAAAACATGATATGATATGCTCGTAAATGGACACCATCATATGTTTAGACATTACCTATTATATCCTCATCATGCGGAAGTGTCAGCATCCACTCACCCTTTGCAGCCCATGTTTCTCGTGGTTTGTAGAATAAAATACTAGGGTTAGTATCCACGGCGTTCACCTTAACAGACTCAGTGGCAAACAGAGCTCCATTGGCATCTTATTGGACAAAGAAAACCGTCATCAACTACATTAATATAATAAAAAAAATTATTCCGTTTATTATAAGCTGCCCTCAAGCTTACCTAGACAGGCCATAGAATAGTTAAAATCATCACGAAGGTTGTAACCTCGATTGTGAGACTGATCATGGTATTCCACAGTGATGGTTGAGAATGTTTCATGTTCCATGGTGGAAATACTTCCAACGCTATTCATAGCTTTGAAATATCCAAAAGTCTATTGTGTGTATTTAATAAAAAATTATCTAAATAAATTGAATTATATCTACCCAAATATTGACGATGATTTTTCATAGGCGTGGAACCCGGTTGGAATGTAGCCTGAGGTTTAGTAAAATCTATATTGAAATTTGTGTTATTACGAAGGTAACACCACGAATGCTTTAAAAACAATCAACATTATCACCTACCATCATATGGTCTGAACTTCTTCTTTTCTGCTTCTCTGATATAATTATCTGGCTCAGGAATTTTAGTTTCTTCCAGCATATCCTGTGATGATAAGTCTAGGAATAAAGAATAAAGTTTATATTATGCCAATTCTTCTCAATTATTTTGAAACCCGATATTCACCAACATGTTGCTTCTCATTTCCTGCTGTTTCATTGTCAAAATTGTCATCTGAAAAACCTGCATAATATTAATATTTTGGATCAATGATAAAATTTTATAATAATAATCAACGTTCATATGAAAATTTTCTGACTACCATCATCCGGCTTGTCTCCATTTTTGTCAATATTATTAAGAAATTCCTCATCATCCAACATGCCCTCCAGAAATTCATCCTCCAACATATCTTCCTGAGAGAGGACAACTAGGAAACAAGAACTGAAAGTCATTACCTGTCAACAAATTAAATGAATAAAAATTTCTAAAGCCAATCAAACCGTTAGATTTATTTTTCCCCACAACGCCGGCTTCTTTGTCATTGAGATCGAATCGGTTTTTATTCATTTTTTCTATTGGATTTTGTCCATCCTCATTCACGTTAGAATTCACATCTTCTTCGGCCTCAGTGTGAATCCCTTACATCCAAAATATTTTGAATGAGATATACATGTTTAAAAACATGATAAAATTATCCTGGATATGATTTATACCTGATTCATTTCTCGATCCAATTTCATTTTTATTATAATCCGAATAATCGAGTTCTTCGAAAACTGAGTCATTTTCTTCAACTAAAATTATGAGGCATTGAGAATATGCAAATTCATAGAATTTATTGTATATAAAACCAATGTTCACCATCCATATCTCGCTCATTCTTCTCCTTCCGCGAATAAGTTTTCTTAACGGGCATGTCAGAAGTCATCCCCACAACCCCCCTATCTGAAATTTCGGGTTCATTATCATTTGTGTCGAGGATATCGTCATCACTTAGCATATCCTCTTGCGTGAGAACAACTGAAAATATTAAAGAAAATGATAAATAGCGCGAAAACCCTAAGTGATAATGATATATCAAAACCTACCTTGAACATTTTCTTGTAATCCCAATATATCTTCGTGATTTCCCTCCAAATAATCAAGACCTTGTTCGTTTTCTTCGTCATAATATTCTAACACATCATCCTGCTTAGACTCCACTAATAATTATAAATGAATAATTAACACATAAAAGTTTGAGAAAAAAATTTTTTGTTAATTAATTTACTTTTTTGATCGTCTTTTCTTGAAATATCATTTTCTTTTGTTTTATCCATTATATTATTATCATTTTCTTTAGATAATTCCAAATCTTTGCTAATATCATTTCTAGATATATTGTTATCCTTCAAAGGATCCTGCGTAGGAATGACTATCGAATGAAAAAGATCTATGAACATTTGTACCGATTTTAATACCCGAAGAAAATAACGCAATTTGCCTGATTCTTGCCTGAAATATCTTCACTATTCCTTTCTTCAGGAACATGCCCCATTTCTTTGTCTTTTAAATAATAATTTTCGCTTATCACGTCTTCTTGCGTAAGAACTATTAATAAAATTGATAATTAATTTCCATCTAAAATAAATACTACGCCGATCTCGTCCCCGTACCTAATTTGCCCGTCGTATTTTCTGAAGTAACATCACCCGTGAATCCCTCTATTGCGAGATCATGTTCTTTATAGTCGTCGTCCAAATATAGATCATTTTCTGAGGTATCTTCTTTTGTGAGGTTTTATATTAGAATGTGTAAGTTTTTAAAGAGAGAAAAGTCTTTACTTTTTTTGATAGAATACCTAGCTTGTCGTTATTTCCTTCAGTCTCGTCCGCAAATTTCTCAAAGTCGAATTCTTCTAACGGAATACCTTCTTGAGAACATGAAATATTAAAAAGAACTGTATATTATAGAGGCGTGAGAGAAAATAATGCCTACCTAGATCGTTTTTATTTTCTGTGACGTCAAGGCTTTCCATCGTAATAAAAAACTTAATAAAACTACCTTTGCTCTGAGCAAAACTTTCGCGTAATTAAAGCCAAAAATGAAACGTGTGTTTGTAGAACGTTACATTTATCTTCGAACAACTGGCCGGATCAGACGTCATTAGAAATTCCGGGTTTTTGCATAGTATGTGGATAGACATCAGTCATATGTACTTTCGTTTGAATCTAATTTAGATAGTTAACTAAAATTTAATAAATTTCTTTTCGTTTTTATAACTGCTATAACTTCGCAGGGCATACTATTTAAAGTTTTACTTTACTTTTTGTTTTAGATTATTATTTCTTGATTTTTTTAATAATATTTTTCTTTTTTCCTTAAGTAATTTTCAGGTAAAATAATTAATACCTAGGATAATAATTATGAATAAATTTATTATTATTATTATTATTATTTAAATCCTGCAATCAGGCTAGTGTTATTTATTTATTTAATCAGAATGCAACCATTACAAGTATGAGAATGCCTACAAAGTATAAATTTCCTTGACTTAGCTTATCCATTAACAGCCAAAGCCTTTAGATGTGATTTATGGAGATGAAATGTTGCTTCTCTGTTAAAAAAAATTAAGATCCTGGTACTTCAATAGGAGCAAAACCTGCAGATCACCTCTACAGTTATGATTATAAACCAAAATTGTGTCACCCTTCTCTTGTAGAAATTATGTAAGAAGAAAAAGAAATAAGAAAAGAAATAGGAAAGAAAAAACAGTACAATTGTATATATAAGAAGTAATTGAAAAAAAGTAAAAAAAATATTATTTATTCTAACTATTATTGAAAAGATTATCTTGGTAAACTTAAAACTTAAGTTTTTTATAATGCCTTACTTCTTATTACAAATAGTTAGTCAAATTATTTAATTTTTATTAAAGTGATTGATGTCCAAAAATATTTAAGAACACTTTTAAGAGAATATTTTTTAAAACTTTACACTTGAAGACTTTTAATCAAAAAAGATATTGATTTTCTGTTATTGATTTTTTTTTCAAGTCATGTTTTTCTGAAATTATTGCTTCATTCAACCAGTGGATAGTTTTAGAACTTCTTTTTTCAACTATTTTCGAGATAAATATTAATACTTTAACTTGTATCTAAATCTTGTTACTACTTCCTGTTTTCAAGAAAGAATAGAAAAAAAAAGAAAAACAAAACAAAAAAAAAATATTATTTTTCTTTACTTACAGCTTCTACTTCATTTAATACTTTTATATTATTTATTTAATTAAAAACTATTTAACTTTTTCAAAAATCAATTATATTATCAATTTGATATTGCATAACCAAAAACATATAAAAAATACATATCTTGTTTACTTTTTCTGTAGCTAATGTGATCAATCTATCTATAGCTTTGACCAATTATTTTTTAGGGGATCTGATGTAACCAAAAATTCAGGATCAAACTGAGATAGGCAAAATTTCTTAGAAAAATTAGAAAAAAAAGAAGCATACTTGAGAAAAAAGAAATAGTAAGTCAAAAAGATGATAATAAGACTGGAAACTTCTTTATTCTTAGTTTTCTGAATTCTTGAATTTCTTGAAAACCTTTGAAAAATATTTTTTTTATTAATTTTCTTTCTAAAAAGATGTTCTTACTATAGGTCTTTTAAATAAATTTCTTGTATTTAATTATAAAAATAAACAAAAAAAGTGTTTTAAAAAAAAAAATAAAACAAGTAATAGCTACTATTCACTTTGTTAATTAGAAAACCAATATTGTTAAAGAAAATATATAGACTTTATTATTATAAAGAAATAAAATCTTTTAAAACATCTGTTTTTTAAATTGATAAAAGAATCAGTAAAAAAGGTTTTTTATAAATAAATTTATTATTATTTGATTAAGAATTACTGTAATTATAATATAATAAATTTAATTTATAAAAATTATTATTATTATTATTAAATAAATAAATATTATTTTTTTATTTTTTATTTTTTTGTAAATAAACATTATTGCTTTATTAATTATAAAAAATTCAGATTTTCTATATAACGAAAGTAATAATATCTCTTATATAATATATTGAATTAATAAGTTTAATACTAACTTGCCTATATTAACTTACTATATAATAAAGAAAAATAAATATTAAAACCACTACATATTATAAAAAGTGTCAAACAACTATAAATACTTATTCAGAGTTATTAATAATAAGTTGGTTAAAATTAGAAATTACTATTTATAAATTCATATGATAATAAATAAAAGATCTATAATTATATCTTTTGATTTAAGTTGGAATTTGAGAATTGACAAAAGTAATTATAAGATTTGATTAAAGAGTTCTTATAAGATTGGTGAAAATTCTGATTTCATATTATACCTATAGAGAAAAAAGTGTTTACTATATTATATCTTGATTTTTATATAAAATTATAAAGAAGAATGAATACTTTTGAGACTGTTTTTATCCAAATATCAATATCAGTTATAATAAAGATCTTGCTGATAACTCCACAGAACAATTTAACTACCTACTAGATTTAATCAACTGTGATATTATTTTTGTTAAGGCAAAGTATATTATTTATAATATTAATAATTTGAATTGTTTGTTTTTCTATCTTGATGTACTTAAATACATATTTTATGTTTTCAGTTCTAAGATTATATTTTGGATAAAAGTAATTTGAAAATTGTTCTGCATATAGTTAGTTGAGAAAAGCTTAAGTCAAAAAAGTTCCTGAAAAAAGCTTAATCCTAAAGAATATTAAATTATTATAGAAATTCAAATAATTTGTGAATTGGATATGAATCAGATTAAATTGAATTTTAAAATTTTTAAACCAATCAAATTCAAATCAAATCAAATTTTTAATTTTTAAATCTGATTAAATACAAATTAAATTTGGATTAGACATAGCTTAGTCTATATAAATTATCAAATAGCTATTTAATTTTATTTAAATAGAACTAACTAGAAAATTAAAATAAAAAACTTGTTTTTTTTAATTAATGTATAAATGGTTATATTAAAAAAATTTAATATCTGTTCACTCTACCTTTTAATAATTTTTTAATAATTTTAAAAAGTTTTTTTTTTAAATTTTTGATGAGTTTCATATATCAAAAAATTTAAAAAATTATTTTAATATTATAGCTTTATATTTAACTACTTGAATTAATACAATTTGTTTTTTGATAATTTAAATATTTTTTAAAAATAAAATATGAAAATTTATTTGATAATATGCAATACTTGTATAAAAAAAGTAGTAGTTTAATGAGCCATAATAATAATGACAATGACAATATTAATATAAGCAATTTATTAGAAATTACTTTAATTACTTTAATAATCTTTAGAAGCAAAGCATAAAAATATTTTATAAAAAGTTCAAATTTTAAAAACAACAAAAAAACTACTTGTAAATATTATAGAACAGTATATACATGTAGTGAAAATAGTACTTCTAATCTTATAAAACATCTTAAAAAACTTATCCAGCAAAATTAAATCTAGTAGCCAATAATTCCAATATAGTAAATTTTTTTAAAACAAAGATAATTTTTGAAATATTTCAAAATTGTAAAGAATATTACTAAATTTTATTTATATCTAATGAACATATGATCTTGTAAAAATAAAAAAAAACTTGTTTATTGAATTATTATAAATCAATAGTTATTTACAATTATTTAAGAACTAGCTTTTCTTAAATTTATATAAATACTTGCATTAAATATAAAAATACTTTCAGTTACTTCTATTAAGACAAGTATAATAGATTTTTATTTAAACAAGCAAGAAAAAATTCAAAAAATATTACAAAAAACAGGAAACCAAATTTTATTTATATTAAATATTTGGACATCAGTTTCAATAAAAGCATTTTTAGCTATAACTGTACATTTTATTGACAAAAATTGAATAATACAAAATATAATAATATATTTTATACAATTGTGGAATATTCATTCAGGTGAAAGTATTAAAGAAGCATTTTTATTATATTTAAACAATTTATAATACAAATTAAAATAAATTTATTTCATATATTATATTTAAAATAAATATTATATATAATTAATACTAATATTTAATTTTAAAGATATTATAGTAGCTATTATCTATAAACCACACAGTCTGAAATTTTAGATATAGATCACCATATGATTTTTATAATAAATTACATGACAATATATTTTTAACTATATATATACATGTATTAACTTATTCTGCTCATTACTTCCACAACTTAACAAAGACGATCTTAAAATCCTTCGTGGTAAGAAGATCACTGGTCATTCATTCCTCAAATTGACCAAAAATAAGATAGGTTAAAGAGAAGACCTACAATAGCTCTTTGTAAAGTTCGCTGAAGAAATCAAGGAAAAAATTTGTGGGCATTTTTGTTATATCACAGTCTAAGAGAAGTGTTATTAAAATATAGTCCTAATAATAATGGTATTGAATCCATTTTGCTATTCACCCTTCCAATCTATGAGATTCAAGACAATAATAAGTATTTTAATGATTTATTTCCTTTCATTTTTTTAACTTCTTTGTATAAATAACAAAAAAATAAAATAAATAATAATTATTATTTAAATTTCATATAAAAATATTGATCTTTAGTCTGAAATTTGGTTTATATATATATATATAGTATTTAAGAATTTATTGAATTTTAAATCTTAATAATTTAAAATTTTACATAATATTTTAAAAAAATATACCAATAAAAATTTTAGTTTGTTTTAATTTATCAATTTATTAGTTTAAATTTATAATAAGTTTATTTGTTCTTAACTTATAAAGTTTAAAAATCAATTAATTTTTGTAAGGCTTATAGATGATAGCCACTATAGGAATTATGACTAACAATGTTACAAACAATATAATATTTACTAAATTTATAAAAGAGTGAAGTAAAACCCAAGCAATTTCTTTTAATGCAACAAAAAATCACTTGTGATATTTTGCACATATTATTAATTTAAGTGTATAAAATGCTTTAAATA